CTGCCCTGCATGTCAATCAAGTAGCAAATGCCATAGGGAGGATGGATGATAGGCTATATATGAATGATTGGCACTTTCTGCTTTTGTTGTTAGGGGTCGCCATAGCGAATCATCACACTGACCATTCGCATGTTAACATTTGGCACGTGTTTTACACCGGATACATTTAATTTATTTTTGAATGGCACGCGATCTACCGACACTACCTTCGCAATCTACCAGTCGATCGCGATCAACGTATTGGGCACCCCTGTGCTACAGATAGAATTCCATTGTATCAAATGAGTCAGTCCACACTGAATCCTTGAGACACTTCATGTCTATGTTTAGTGAAGAGCAGTCTCCGCAGACAGCTGTTTAAATCACACAAATCCTGTTGTTTTCTGTTGTTGGTTGGCCTGGAATAGAACCTGTGTCCTGGTGCTGTCCTGTTGTCAGATAAACAGATGTTCTGATTACTTTAAACACTCAGAACACGCTGCATAGATCCAGTTAGTCTTGAAAAGATCTTCCTTTTGACTGCTTCATTCTATCTCTGGATTCCCTTAAATACTTGAAAATAAAATTATATTTAATCAGGGTTATTTATCATTCACAGTAAGCTCTATCACCTAACGGGGGGCACAAAAGGCACATTCTCAGCTACAAGGCTAATGTTGCTAGCAATAGTTCACAACGTTTTAGAGGCTCAAACTTGTTTTTTTTTTTGTTTTTGTTTTTTTACAGTCTTGTTGGCAGGCACTTGCACATTTTACTAGCTGAACAGGTTATTTGTCTTTGTCTGATGTGGATATGAGGATCATATGTTAGTTATTGTACAGTTTGGGAATTTAAGAAACCCCAGCAGGCTAATTACTTTCAAGCAGTGGTCAACAGTGATTGGCTGTACACACAAAGGTCAGCACAACTGACCACGTCCACACTGCACACCATGGATGTCTGTGCAGAGGGTACCACACACGCAACAATGTTGAGGTGTGCGTAAAACACTTTTTTCCATCATAATGTCAACATGCCATGAGAGAGCATAAAAGGACAAAGTTTATTTGTTTTCACTGCCCATGTTTGCTCTTAGAAAGCATGAGGAGTATGGGTAAGTTGGAAGACAATACAGAAATTTAATTTAGATTTTCTCTGAAATGGGAAATAACTACTCTTGAAATAAACACTAATAAGAAAACTTTACATTTACTTGACTAACTCACAGATGTTACTCTTTAATGAACATTGGAAATATCCACAGTGAATTTCACAGTTTATCTTAATGAACAACATCATTATGTCTTGCATGTCCAACAACACTATCATGTTAAATGACTCTTCCCACTTTCAGTCTGAGATCTGATTTTACAGAACCGTGGTGATTACTGTGCACTTCTGTTACTTGTCCCCTGGACATGAACCTGGAGTTGTCATGTTGTTGACGCTGCATTGTTGACAAGAAAATTGGCTCCATAGCTACTGCCAGCTGTTACGCGATGTCTCGAGACTTGCTAAGCCAAACCCACTCAGTTCCTGTATGTGCACATCTTAGAGAAGTGAAGCAAATAAAACAGTTAATATCTTGTTTTCAGGCAAGAAGATGATGTTAAGGTTAGTCCCCCTCAACAGGAGGATGAGGGAGAACTGAGATAGGACTCAAGACTGCTGACCCAGGTGCTAGTAAAAAAGGTGGTTTAATTGGGGCTGCACAAAAAGGAACAGAGTCAATGAATACATACAACCAGGGCTGGGCAAAGACAGCTGAGGAGACAGGATGACCAGGGGAGTAGACAGGCTAATGACAGGAACCAGGAGAGTAGGAGGATCAGGATAGACAGGGGAATAGACAAGCTAACCAGGAGGATAGGCGAACGAAAAAGGAAATCCACAGCACAGGAACGTCAGCGTGGACGTCTAGGGACGTGTAACACAAAACATGTAACCAACGTACAAAATGAGATCCACAGCACAGAAACTGTCAGACTGGAAAACAAAATGACGTACGATACATATCACGAATAGAGGTATAGGTCTGTTACAGGGTATGCAAGTTAATGCTCCGGTGACGACGGAGTGTCTGCCAGAGGTTCAAATAAGGTAAGGAAGTCATTACAGTAACACACCTCAGCTGTGCGCGACAACCCACAAGTCACTAATTACAACAAGCAACACAGCTGAGGTGCTGATCCCACAAAAAAGAGAGAGCAGGAGAGAGAAAGGCAAAAGAGAGGCAGGTTGCACCGAGCGGACCTGACACATGAACTTTCTGTGGAAGGATAGCATAGCTCTGACAGGGCCTGCAGGGGATCTCTCTGAACTGTGTTGTGTTAGGACTGAAAATGTGTGCCTTCTGCATAAAACTGAAAGTAAGGAGAAAGCTGGAGACCTTGTGCAGTGAATGCTTATTAGAACATTGTCATTGTTGCTTAATAGCTAGGACATAAAAGCATTTATATATTGTAGATAAAATAACAAAGAACCATAAGAATTATTGAGTCACTCAATCACAGTTAAAAAGGAGAACAAAAAGCTGGCATCAGGTTTAAAGCAAAGTGACTTGTTATATTACCTGTGACAGTCAAGCCTTGTGTATTCTCAAAGCGACCTAAAGGAGGTAACTTGGCAATAACAGGCTCAGTAATTGTCAATCACTGATTTCTAAGAGCACTATTTTTATAAACTGCTGAAACTGCTTAATCTGTGCCAGAGGATGCATCAAAATACCTTTTTTAAGGTCAGATTTGAAGATTTAAAGTCACTCACTGTGTGAGCTGAGAGATCTCAGCATGAACATAATTCAGTGTCCATCAGCACATAGCCAAGACTTTATAAGGGAGGTGCTGACTTGAGAGGATCAAATATATTCTGATTTGCAGTGATTTAGATTTTGTGATTTTGCAGTGCTGTAAGTTATACTGAACTTATTTTCTATGTCGGTTTGGCAATTATTTGTGTGTACCCATTGAGTTTTCTAAGATCTCTCTTACGGTTTGAGCGCAATCAGCTCCGGATCCCTGCGTAGAGGCTCTGGGGAAAGCCCACCTCGGCACTCTGCCTGACTTCAAGTGTTGGTGGTTATCTGACTCTCTGTGCATTCACGGCCACCACTCTTGCCTTATCAGCAGTCTGAAGCTTGCATGCTCAATCGCCTGATTTGTCAAGGGTGACTCTGAAAGATTTTGATAGGCACTCTGCAAATCACCCAGTTGATCTAAAATATCGACCAGCCACAAAAAGTCATTACACACAATAATGGCGGGCAGGACCTTGAAGATGGGACTTAATTAGGTTTCAAATGGCTTCAAAAATGCCTTCAAATCTGCTCCCCTGGAGAGTAATGTGCTCTTAGATTTCTCAGTGATTACAGGTGTAGAAAGTAAAGCGCATTGCTGCTGTGAGTATTGCTGCTGCTCCTAACCATAGGTGATAGCAGCAGCACAAACTTCAGAGATGTACACTCATACAAATTCACTCTGCTGCTCTTTAGAATGTTTGTCTGCTTCAATCTATATTCTCCTCACACGCCATAATGACTAGTCAGATAGCAGACATATAGCACTACTGTAGCTGCTGAGGCAAGTGACGGTTTTTCCTAATGTAATTTGGAAAGTAATTGAATGTAAATGGTTTTGCAGGCCTTGATAGCGTTGCATACTTTGGTAATATTTAAATGGGGGTTGTCTGCCCGTCATTGTTTCTTTTTGTTCCTCAGAACATTATAACTGCAGAGACAGAAATAATTCTTTATTTAAGTCCAACCTGGAACTTCACATTCATTAAAAAATAGTATACAGTAGATTTTACATTGAATAGTTTGAATTTCTTTTCCTACTCTCAATGCCATTCTGTGTCTCCTCACAGAAAACCAAGATCTCCACATATGATAAGATGTGGGAATTCATGAGCAGTCGGAGGCATTCAGTGATGGTGAAGAACGCTGAGGAAGGCATTCACCGTGTACTCACCTCGGACTACGCATTCCTCATGGAGTCCACGACCATCGAGTTTGTCACGCAGCGTAACTGCAACCTCACCCAGATTGGAGGACTCATTGACTCCAAAGCCTATGGGGTTGGCACCCCAATGGGTATGTATGCTACAATTAGAATACTTGCTTAACTTCGCTTTTTGACATGGAGAGTGTTAAAAGCAGCCAAACAATTCAGATTACATTCAGATGTGGCTTTCTTCATTCTCGATGTGTTAGCATCTAAAGCTAATGTGTTTGGTTTGCTAGCATTATTGACATAGCATGGGTATAATTTTACCTTTGTGTAGGATTAATATGATTATTATTTTGGAGAAATTCAAGCTTTGTGTAACATTAGTTCTTTATTAGCTCCGTTCGGGACTGTCTCGTCAACCTTATAACTTGACGGTGTTGTCCCGAGTGCTGCCATAAAGCCAGGACTAATTAGTCAGCTAACAGTAGCTCTGGACTGGTGGAACTGTTTTGTACAGTTTGTCCCAACAAGGCAAACAAGATGTCAGTTGAAGTTTGACTAGACTCTCTAGCGGCTGAAAAAAAACTAATTAATGCACCTTTAAATGTTAAAGACACATTATGCACTGGAACAGAACTCTGCACACCTGGGAGAAGAGCCTGTGTATTACTGCATGTACATGCCATCCACCCCAGCCTCCTCCTGACCAGACTTATTTACTGACTTTTATGCTCTATATACTGTGTCATCTGACTTCATCCATTGCTCACGTCATAATTAGTACACCCATTGGAGTTGGCCAAATTATAATAAGTAACTGCTGGTCATACTAACCTGCTGGTATAAATGAAACATAAATTGAGTTTTTATAGGAGGACAGATGTAAACTGTCAGGAGTTGCAATGAGAGGCACTGTGGCAGGCAACGGCATCTGTGAATTGTGTTCCAACCAGTACCAGTTCAACCATTATCTTGCATTGTCATCATGATGTGTGTTATATACAACCTGTCCTGAGTTTACACTACTGTAATTTGTTTTTGCTTTATGTACTTACATAAAGTTTGTATGTTTCAAGCTTAAATACTTTAATGCACCAAATGCACATTATGCACAACAGATTTAATGGGACTTGACACTGTAATATTAGATTTTACACCCATAATTTCTGAAACACTTTACTGCAGAAAAACTTTGTACTTAGGTGAAATTGAAATAGATTTTGAAAGAACATCTTTATTTCAACTCACAAAAGATACACTTGTCATTTGTGTTTTATCAATGAGCATGTTCTCCCAGATGTTAATAAAATGTTAACATTTTGGATTATTTGAAGGGAGCATATAAAAACTCTGACAACGTAGTGGAAGGTTAGGGTGCGGAGGGTAGAACTTGATGGGTGTAAATATCTGTCTTTAGTTAGAAATAGTTTCCAATTCATGACAGGAGTCAGAATCAGAATCTGCTTTATTGGCCAGGTGTACTGGACACACGAGGAATTTGACTCTGGTACATCAGCTCTCAGAGTCAGGGACATATGTTTTTTTTTTTTTTTATGTGTGTAAACCACAGCCCTGAACATTATTCTCTCTTACGCGCCTGTGCACTCTGCAACCCAGGCTTCATTATCATTCACCATGTTTTATGAACCTGTGCATTTAATTTTTTTTTTCTGTGCACGATCCATGGACATGATAATAATTTTTAAAAATCCTCATCAGTAGCAGTAATAGTAATAGAAGTAGTAGAAGAAGAAATGAAAGAAAAATATGATCCTACTTTGATATATATTATAAACATTGATTATATACTCTACTGTTGCATTTTTAAAGCTCTGTATTTTTGTGTGCTTACACTGCACTACATCCTTGAGGTAACCCATGTGGAGAAATGCATAGCAGGGAAATTTCTGGGGCTATCTCCAGCAGGCACAAGAACACTATAATTCAAATATAGAAGGTTACATGTGTCTGTGGAGGTGCCACATTTGATTATGGGGCTCCACGGCAGATTGTCATAATCCTGTTACAAACGTAGTGGGAAGAAAAACTCTGGTTAAGTTAGCTGCATAGTTACAACTGGCAAACAACTTAACAGTGTGACCACATGCAAAAGGCTGCTCTCAAGCTGGATCATATTATTTAACAGAGAGGGGATTGTAAAATAGTTCCTGCAGTGTTAATATCTCCTGCAAATGTGGTTTGTGAGCAACATGCTGTCTTAATGAGCGTTAGCCAAACAAAGCTACAGCGTAAAAGCACAGGCTACAACAGTATTAGACATGATATAATATAGACATGTTTAATACTTGTAGAAGCAAGCATCATTACAAGGTTAAGGAAATTCAAGAGATTCCAAGTCAGGTCACATTGTCATGCAACTGTCATAGCTGGTTGGGTGCAGTTTATTGTCAGTATTGTTCAGGCTTCAGTCAGACTTCAAACTCAGATCATAGGATGTCTTAGTAATGTTTCTCCTGAGCAAAAGGAAATGATCAAGTTATTGTGTAGTTTTCTTACTGTGAAGAAACCCAATGAAAAGACCACAGACCAACGGTGCATTAATTCATGTCTCAGTTGTGTGTGGCTCTCAGTTCCAAGCCCAGTAGTTCCTACTGAACACACAAATCATAAATGCAGAAGTTTCCTGAAACAGAGGGGCACTGTAGTTTTTAGCAAATCTTATGAAACAGCAGGAAATAATCGGATGGTGCTTATGGGGTTGAGTCTAAATAAACTATAGTGTCTGCCTTCATGGTACAGTGATGAAGGAACATGTTACAGGATGATGTTCTGGCGGCTAGGCTTTGTCTGGCTTTGAACACACACACATGCACACACAGTGCTTTTTTAGTTGATAATAACAAGATACAGAATATTACCACACTACAAAAATGCCTATTTTAAGTGAAAATATTTTAGATATAAGTTTTGTTTGACTTGAAACAACCAAATCTGGCAGTCAGAGCTAATTTCTGAAATTGCAATCTTCAGGTTTTGAGTGTGTTGTGTGCTTAGCACTGAGCAATCATACCAAAAGACTATTGATACTGTGTGTCTTTCTATGGTAATATTGATCAGTGTGTCCACCACTTTGTTCCAGGCTGAAATATCTCATCATCTAGTGGATTGCTGTGAAATTTGGTATAGACATTCTTGGTCCCCAGATTATATTTATCAATGACTTTTGGTGATCCCCTGGCTTTTCCTCTAGTGCCACTATGAGTGAAGACCTTTTTGGTTTTCAATGAAAGGTTGTTTTTACACCGATCAGGCATAACATTATGACCATCACCAGGTGAAGTGAATAACACTGACTATCTGTTACTGTTATGGCTGCGGCTCAGTGCACTCCCAGCACTTCCACCAGGCATGGGTCCATCAACAACTCCGCCCCGGCAGGTGCTGGAGTGCACTCCCAGCGGCGAGGCACACCTGCTCCCATTCAGCGGAGCATTACTTAAGGAGAGCGTTGGTGTGTTCTTGTCGCCAGATGATCTCTCAATGACCAGCAATTACAGTGCCTTGCAAAAGTATTCGGCCACCTTGAACTTTGCGACCTTTTGCCACATTTCAGGCTTCAAACATAAAGATATAAAACTGTAATTTTTTGTGAAGAATCAACAACAAGTGGGACACAATCATGAAGTGGAACAAAATTCACTGTGATAGTCTCAGAGGTTCGTTTAAAGCGCAGAGAGCATCATGAAGAACAAGGAACACACCAGGCAGGTCCGAGATACTGTTGTGGAGAAGTTTAAAGCCGGATTTGGATACAAAAAGATTTCCCAAGCTTTAAACATCCCAAGGAGCACTGTGCAAGCGATAATATTGAAATGGAAGGAGTATCAGACCACTGCAAATCTACCAAGACCTGGCCGTCCCTCTAAACTTTCAGCTCATACAAGGAGAAGACTGATCAGAGATGCAGCCAAGAGGCCCATGATCACTCTGGATGAACTGCAGAGATCTACAGCTGAGGTGGGAGACTCTGTCCATAGGACAACAATCAGTCGTATACTGCACAAATCTGGCCTTTATGGAAGAGTGGCAAGAAGAAAGCCATTTCTTAAAGATATCCATAAAAAGTGTCGTTTAAAGTTTGCCACAAGCCACCTGGGAGACACACCAAACATGTGGAAGAAGGTGCTCTGGTCAGATGAAACCAAAATTGAACTTTTTGGCAACAATGCAAAACGTTATGTTTGGCGTAAAAGCAACACAGCTCATCACCCTGAACACACCATCCCCACTGTCAAACATGGTGGTGGCAGCATCATGGTTTGGGCCTGCTTTTCTTCAGCAGGGACAGGGAAGGTGGTTAAAATTGATGGGAAGATGGATGGAGCCACATACAGGACCATTCTGGAAGGAAACCTGATGGAGTCTGCAAAAGACCTGAGACTGGGACGGAGCTTTGTCTTCCAACAAGACAATGATCCAAAACATAAAGCAAAATCTACAATGGAATGGTTCAAAACTAAACATATCCAGGTGTTAGAATGGCCAAGTCAAAGTCCAGACCTGAATCCAATCGTGAATCTGTGGAAAGAACTGAAAACTGCTGTTCACAAATGCTCTCCATCCAACCTCACTGAGCTCGAGCTGTTTTGCAAGGAGGCATGGGCAAAAATTTCAGTCTCTCGATGTGCAAAACTGATAGAGACATACCCCAAGTGACTTACAGCTGTAATCGCAGCAAAAGGTGGCGCTACAAAGTATTAACTTAAGGGGGCTGAATAATTTTGCACGGCCAATTTTTCAGTTTTTTATTTGTTAAAAAAGTTTGAAATATCCAATAAATTTCGTTCCACTTCATGATTGTGTCCCACTTGTTGTTGATTCTTCACAAAAAATTACAGTTTTATATCTTTATGTTTGAAGCCTGAAATGTGGCAATAGGTCGCAAAGTTCAAGGGGGCCGAATACTTTCGCAAGGCACTGTATTCAGTAAGCTTCCGCTGTGACTAACCTGTGTTTCTTTTTGCCTTGGTGATCCCAGTATTGTGTCATGCATTTTTCTGAACTGTGAGCTGAACTATTTGCTTTCTGCTAAAGGAAATCCCCTTGAGTATTGTTTAGTATGAACTATTGTTTCTGCTGACCCCATACTCCCCCAAACGTACTCTTCGGTCTGTAAACCAAT